AAACTTTCGATTTCTCCTTCCCAACAAGCTCCGTTGCCGCAAACCCTCAACCACCATACCAATTCATCTTGACTTTCGTCCTATTGCAGATGGCCATGTCTGGTGGTCTACTCATCATCATCTTCTCGCGTTGATCCTCTCCGCGGTCCGCGATAGCCAGGGGCGGAGGCAGAGTCTTCCGTCCAAGTTCCAACAACAGCAGAGTCTCGCATCTCTCTCTCTCCACAGGCACACAAACCACTTGCTTTATTATAACACTAAGAGTCAACAGGAAGAAGACAAGAGACAGCTCAGGTATATACAATTCCATGGCACTACCCAACAATCCCACTTTACATTAGTTAACTAATATAATTGGTTCTTCGTGGGATCTCTACAGGTTGTTTAAATGAGAAAGAATTAACAATTTTCCTTCATGCTTTGTTTGTTTGCTTGACTTCAATATAATAATTGGCCTTTGACAGGGGAATTGTGAAAGTAACTAAGTGGGAGGGATTCAATAGAATAATTGCAATGTGAATCAGAATAATGGCCAGTTAGCCAAAACAAGAAAGATTGAACTAGCTTATTCATTGGAAAAGGGATTTGAACTTGAAACTCTTTCTCATTAGATTCTTGATTAATGGTTTAATTCTCTGCTTACTTTTCTATTATGTAGATTTTGATTATGGAAAGATATTATCCCAAAAAGCCCAAGACAACAGCTTCAGATGTTCACGGGCATGAAGTTGGCGGATCAAGAGTGGTTGCACATGATTCTAGCTCAACATCACCACCAATATTGCCACAACAATCTTTCCCGGTAAATCATTCCAAACCTTGCTTTGGGTCTAAAGAAAGTGAATTGGATGTGAGATCATTGAAAGCTGATCCTGGCTTAAGAGAACAATTATCATGCTTTCATCATAATGTTCGAGATATGGTTAGAAGATATTATCTTCAGAAAGGTCCTTGTCGACCCAATCATAATTTTCCAACTAAAGATGTCGGGGGAAGGCTTCGCAGCTTTAAAGCTTCTTGGTATAAAAAATATCATTGGCTGGAGTATAGCATTGCAAAAGATGCTGCATATTGCTTGCATTGTTTCTTGTTTCGAAGTGATGATGGTAGAAAAGGTGGAGGTGCTTCTTTCATTTCTACTGGTTTTAAAGCATGGAATAGAGGAGATGAAGCTCTTGATAACCATGTTGGTTTTGTTAATAGCGAGCACAATAAGGCTGTGAGAAAGTGTGAAGACTTGTTAACACAGTCACAAAGCATTAGAGTTGCTTTATGCAAACAGTCAGACCAAGTAAAGAAAGATTATAGAATTCGTTTGCAAGCTTCAATTGACTGCATCAGGCATTGTGTACGCCAAGGTCATGCAGTTCGTGGACATGATGAATCAGAAAGTTCGAAGAATAGAGGGAATTTCATTGAACTTCTAAAGTTCCATGCTTTTGGTAGAGTGGATGTGCATAGTGTTGTGTTGGAAAATTCACCTAAAAATCTTCAAATGACTTCCCCAGATATACAAAAGGACATTGTTCATGCTATTGCATCTGAAATAACTAAGGAAATAATTTGTGATATTGGAGAAGATCTGTTTTCCATTTTGGTGGATGAGGCTCGTGATACATCAATCAAAGAGCAGATGACTGTTGTGTTACGTTATGTAAACCAAGAAGGGTATGTAATGGAGAGACTTCTTGGGATTGCTCATGTTTCAGATACTAAAGCCTTGACACTTAAAATGGAAATTGAATCAATTCTAGTGACAAGTGGATTGAGCTTGTCAAGAATAAGGGGCCAAGGTTATGATGGAGCTAGCAACATGAGTGGGGAAATCAATGGACTCAAGGCTTTAGTTTTGGCAGAAAACTCATCAGCTTACTATATTCATTGTTTTGCCCATCAACTGCAGTTAACGCTTGTTGCTGTTGCTAAACAACATGGAGATGTTAGTGGCTTCTTCACGCTTATTACCAACTTGATTAATTTGGTAGGAGGATCGTGTAAGAGGATGGACAACATTCGAGAAAGTCAAGCTGCTAAAGTTGTTGAGGCATTATGTTGTGGTGAACTTGAGACTGGACGGGGTTTAAATCAAGAAGTTGGTCTTAAAAGGCCTTGTGATACTCGTTGGGGATCTCATTTTGACACACTTCTTAACTTGCCTGTGATATACTCTTCTGTTATTGATTGTTTGGATATCATCAAAAAGGAGGCAAAAGGTGAAGCAAAGGGTGAAGCATCTGTCACATTGATATGCATCCAAAGTTTTGATTTTGCATTCATTTTGCATATGATGATTAAAGTGTTAGCAATTACTAATGAGTTATCTAAATCATTGCAAAGGAAAGATCAAGACATAGTGAATGCCATGCAGCTTGTTCGTGGAGCAAAGCTTAGATTACAAGATTTGAGAGATAAAGGATGGGAGTCTCTTCTTGATAGTGTGATTTCTTTTTGCAAGAAGGAATATCTTCCCATTTCCAACATGGATGAGTTATACATTCTTTCTGGAAGGCCAAGGAGAAATGCTCAACAAATCACCAATCTGCATCATTACAAGGTTGAGTTATTCTATACAGTGGTGGATATGCAGTTACAAGAGCTTAACAGTCGTTTTGATGAGGTGAACACTGAATTGCTATGTTGTGTGGCTTGCCTAAATCCGGATGATGCATTTGCTGACTTTGACAAGGAAAAGTTGTTGAAGCTTGCTACCTTCTATCCTAATGAATTCTCGATTGATGATATCTTACATCTTGATCCTCAGCTAGATAGTTATATCTTTGATGTGAAGATGAATACGAGGTTCACTAAGTTGAAGGGAATTGCTGAGCTTTGTAGGGAAATGGTTGTGGCAAAGAAGTTTCGATCGTTTCCGCTAGTGTATCGAATTGTGAAATTGGCGTTGTTGTTACCAGTTGCCACCGCTAGTGTTGAAAGAGTTTTTTCGGCAATGAACTACGTGAAGAACACACTACGAAGTCGAATGAGTGATGAAGGGTTGAATGATTTTTTAGTAGGATATGTTGAGAGTGATATCTTAGATAGGTTGGATGATGAGTGTATTTTACAAACTTTCCAAGATATGAAAACACGTCGTGGATCATTGTAAACATTAATTAAGTTTATTTTTATATATTTTCATTTCGGACCCACCTTAAGCGAAATCCTGGCTACGCCCCTGATTTGAGGGGATAGAGAGAGAGAGAGAGAGGGAGGAGGAGGAGGAAGAAAAGTGGGCAAGAGAGGAGGGAGGTTATTGTGGGCAAGAGAGGAGGAAGAAAAGTGGGCGGCGTGGTGGGCAGGGGAGGGTGGTTTGGTAGAGAGAGAGGAGGGTCTGCAGTGGTGGGAAAGAGAGGGAGGGAGGGCCGGTGGCCGGCGGGTGACGGGAGGTGAGTCTAGCTCACCGGAGATAGTGAAGGGCGGGTGTTTATCGTTGGACCATTTATATTGTTCGCCGAAACATGCTCTCAGGTGAACAAAACGGCAATGATCGCAATATGGTTTACATTCGGCAACCACTATTCTGGTGCCAATGGCATTATTTTTAGCTACCATTCTTTTTAGTGGTCGCATTAACCTAAGATGACGGTGTATATACGACCACTCTAGCGACCGAAAAATATGATCGCAAAATGATTCGACGACCACTTTTCTTGTTTTCGCGACCATTTTTTGTGGTCATCGAATGGAATATTTCTTGTAGTGGAGAGAGGGAGGGAGACGGCTGAGAGGGATGGGTGGGGAGAGATTAGGTTTCAAGGAATAGAAATCAGGTGTGGTATTTTTTTATTTTCAAAAGTACGCTTAATCTAATTTGTAGCGTCAATTTAAAAATATAATAAAATAGATATAATGAATGGTACAGATTTGGGTAGCCACCGTGATTGCTCAATTTGAGAGCAATACCCACTTATGTAAGCAGACTCACTTTTCTTGGCTTTAGCAAATGTTAATGAAAGCAATACCCACTTTCTTCAGAAAAAGACATAATCGTACTACTTTTAAAATTCGTAATCGGTTGAAGAATATATTAAATTTATAATTTAAAGTGGAAATAAATATAAAAATTTAATTAATTTAACAATTAAATTCCTTTAAACATAAAATAAACGAGAAAACCAATTGGTTGATTTTATAATACAAGAATTTTAAATAATACACGTGTTAAGAAATTATTCTTTTTTTTTAAACAATTTAAGAAATTATTCAATCTACACAATAAATAAAAGCCAAATGAGAAAACTTGAAGCCCCATTTCAAATTTCCTGCATCCAGAGTGAAAGTAGGAAGGACATTTTGGTCTTCAGTTTTGATCAAGTCTAATTTATAATCACATGGTTCCCTGATACCCTATAAAAATCTCAATCCAAACCAGTTTGGCAGGTGAGTCCGTGTTTACCACCATTTTCTAGGGATACAGGAAAGTTGGTTCCTATCCCAAATCGTGCTGTTCATTCTTGATTTCTTTAGATTTTATCATGGCTTGGCAAAAAACCAGAAAGCACAATGATGAGAAGATGAAAGTTTTATAAAGCAAATTAATCGGCCAACGGGCCGAGTAAAAGCTAGCAAAGATTGTGAGATGCTCATTTCCCGAAAACCGGCGGGATATGCGATTTTTTATTCGATTTTCTGGAATTCGGTTTCTATAAAAATTACTCCACCTCATCATATTGCCAGAAACAATATTGTTTCACAAGGTAACAGGTACTTGATTTTGGTTCATAAGGCTGATTTTTGATTCGCTGCATCATTCATGTCTCTTTTCTACTAAAATTCACTATTTTTATCACGTGTTTCCCAAAAAAAAAAACTATACAACAATAAGCTATACACCACATTACATTATCAAATTTCATACCTCATCTTCGTCCGGCCAAATGGCCGGGGCCCACGCTAGTGAACTATATATTGCTAACTAATAATACACAAGAGACCATAAATATTTCTCCAAATGGACCCAATAACATGAAACACCAACATAAGTTCAAAAGAATTGAAGCATCAAGATTAATTAATTAGTATATAATCCGATCCATTGGATGCAAAGTTATTCATTTATTCAACTCAAATTATTTATATATGAAACTTCATTCTGTAACAGACGAGGTACAAGTTTCAGCTGCAGCTCGGTCACATTGTCATCATTCGATGATCCCCCATATTATTTTCTTATAATTTCAAGTTGTACATACTGAACTTTTTCTCACAATCAATCTCCAGCCAAATTGTCTCCAAACTTAGAGCTTGAACTGCTGAAGAAGAGACTCCCCATCGATTTCATTGCTGGTAGCCACAGCCATCAAGTACTCCGAGATTGTGGTCCCTCTGTATTTGGGAGGATTCTCTTCAGACAACAGCTCCTCAATGGGTTCATATTTTGTTGAGTTTGGCAAAAGACCGGTGCTAAAAAAGCACGCCGTCGATATCCTTGGTCCATCGCTATGATTCGCCAGCACCCTATGCTTCACGCTCTTGAACTTATCATTCGACATGAGCTGGAAAAATCAGCCGCACATATAACATGAACACATATGTCATCTCTTAACCTTAACCGTAAGTTGTCAACATGTAGACACACAAAAAAAAAAAAAAAAAGAGTTGTAACCTGACCTGAAGCAAATCTCCGATGTTGATTACAAGGGATCCCGGCAGAGGAGTGACGTCAACCCACTGATCCTGATGGAGGACCTGAAGGCCTCCGACATGGTCTTGCAGGAGAATGGTCATGAAATCGGAGTCTGTGTGCTTGCCATTCCCCAAAGTACGATCAGGCTGAGGACACCGTGGATAATAATGACACGCCAAGTAATGTCCCATCAAGCAATCCTTATTTCTCAGGCAGTTCGGGTCAAGTCCTAGAGCCTCTGAGAGAAGCTCAAACAATAGGTATCCCATCTTAAGCATCTCCTTGGAATAAACTTCTATGATTTCCCTGTAAAAAATTTCCAAGTTATTAACTTAATTAGTCGCAAAATTTCCAAGTTATCCCATCTTACCTTATAGCAGCAGGGAGTTCTTCGTGGCTGGGAGGATCTGGAGCCATGTAGAAGAGGGCGCTGTCTCTCCAATTAGCGAACTGCCGGGTGTACAAGTCATAGTTGCTGCTGTAAGCAATCTTTCTAGTGAGGTCATGTGTATAGAACTTCATCTTCTCCTCGAGATCCTGCTCGTGGAACCTCTTCACTCCGGATTGCATCTCGTCCAGCACGTCGAGCGGAACTCCATGGTTGACGACCTGGAAGAACCCCCAGGTGGCGGAAGCATCTCGAACTTTCTCGACGATCTCCTTCCGCTTCGCAGGATCTGTGGCCGCGCCTTGTAGGTCGATGACGGGGAAGGTGAACTTCTTGTCACTACTTGATTTGCTGTCCAGTATGATTTCAGGCGGCGTGTGGAATATGGGAGGGATTTCGGTCACTCCAGCATCCACCAGTCCTTTTACGCCGGCTTTCGTTGCGTCGAAGGCCCTGAACTGCGCCAGTCGATCAGCTTCGGAGATCGCCGAAATGGATGCCATGTTCTGTTCTCTCTGTTTGAGTGATGGGAGGAGGGAGGGGCTTTGATTTTGATGCTACTTATAGGTTATAAGTAAGTAACGTCTGTTATATATCAGATCCGGATCGAACCGACCGGTTCGGGTCACTAATTCGGTCCGGTCGAGTTGTTTAATTGTCAACATTAATCAGATGAATTGGGGGATATGTCCAAATAGCCCTATGAGGGGCCGATGGAGAAGCAAGGGTCAGTTGAGTGTAGTGTCTCCAACGTATCATTATGGAGTGGTTAGCCAGGTTAGTTTCACATGTCTATATTTGGCTACGTATTTGGATCTACGTGAGGGCTATTACGTTATGTCAATCAAAACTTTTGCGTATCAGGCACGTCCAGGAGTGTCAAAGCAAGAGATGAAGACGAAAAGCTAGCCTATGTACGTAGGTGGATCATATACATCCTCGAGCTCTCTCGAGCATTCTTTGATGCTGCCTGCCCATAACATGGTGCTATCGCTTCGAGTCACGATTCCGGTCATCTTTTTTTTTTTATGAATAAGGCGATTTTATTCATCAAGAAGGAGGGTTTCCAAAAAGAGGAACCCCCCAACTGTAACCAACAAACAGCAAACTGATTTACAACAAAGCACAATTCAGAATTTGACTACCTACTAAGCAAGTTACAGAAACACAAACCCCCCCCCCCAACCACTTCTAATGCTATCCCACTATACCAGTGATATAATCTTCCGAGACAGCGAGTTCCACCTGAGGGAAAGCACTTCTGAGTAATTTCAGCAGTCCCTGCAGCTTTTGCAGCAGCTGAATTTCTGATAGTGCCTCCCCAGACATAGCTCTTCTGCATCGTTCCCGCCAGAGTTCAGCCACCACCATTACCCAAAGGAGCCTTCCTCGCTCAGATACAGTGTTTTTCATCCTGAACAGTGATATAGCAGTTGCCAAGGATCCTTCCCAATTCGCCCCCACCACATTCCTTCCTGCAAACATTGCTTGCAACACACGCTTAGAATAAGTACATCCAAAGAAAAGATGATCTCTGGATTCCTCTGCAGAAGAACACAATGGGCAAAGATTTACCACTGCACTATTCCACCTTTGTACCTTGTCTAATGTGGCAATTCTGTTCAGGGTGATTAGCCAGACTAGAAGCTTATCTCTAGGTGTGCCATAAGACTTCCAAAGCAATGGGAACCACTGCACTGCCTCATGTTTATCACGAAGAGTCTCCCAGACTGTTTTAACTAAGAACTTATGCATCACACAGTCCCCCCAATACACACCTGCAGGCCTGACTGTTAGATGTTGTGCAACTTTTGACCTAATCTTTAAGACCTTCCTCCAGGCCCATGAGCAAGGCATAGATGAAGGTATGTCCCACAGTGAAGTATAGGTGAGCTGATAGTGCCTGACCCAGCTAGCCCACAAAGAAGAAGAATTGGAAGACAGAGCCCAGAGATGCCTAACTAAGCAGGCCATATTCCAGCTTCTAAGGTCTTTGAAACCTAATCCCCCTTCTTTCTTAGGCCTAGCTATCAATTGCCACTGAACTTTTGCCCTTTTCCCCTCATCCTCTGCACTCCACAAGAAGTCAGAACAGACTTTATCAACCATCTTAATCACCTTAATAGGGAGCTGTATGATCCCCATCCAGTATTGAGTAATACTAGAGATGACAGCAGAGATAAGTTGCATTTTACCAGCATAGGTCAGAGTCTTCACCTTCCAGCCCCTAATCCTAGCAATTATCTTATCAAGCAGAGCTTGACAATCAGAGCTATTCAATTTACCAACAATAAGAGGAATCCCTAGGTACCTCACAGGGAGTTTCCCTATAGCAAACCCAGTTCTAGAAGAAATCTGAGCCTGAACCCCAACTTCCACACCCCCACAGAACACTTCACTTTTTGCAGGATTGCATCTCAATCCAGATACAACATAAAAAGCATCCAGAATGGACTTGGCTTTTTCTACAGCTTCAGGGGTTCCTTTTGTGAAGACCAAAAGGTCATCAGCAAAACACAAGTGAGACAGCCCTATTCTATGGGTTTGTGGATGGGGGGGGGGGAGTTTTAATAGCATAAGCCCTGTTTAACATACATGAGAGTAGTTCCATGGAAATAGTAAAGAGATAAGGGGAGAGAGGATCCCCTTGTCTCAGGCCCTTTTGAGCAGAAAAATATCCCACTAATCCCCCATTAAAACATACACTCAACTTTGTACTATGTAAACAGACTTCAATCCATTTAATGAACTGAGCAGGGATTTTCATGGCCTCCATTACTGTTTTTAAGTACCCCCAATCAACACTGTCAAAAGCCTTCATCACATCAACCTTTAGAGCACATCTAGGGGATATAGCTTTCCTGTTATACAGCCTCACCATCTCATGGGCCAATAGTACATTATCACTAATCAATCTACCCTTAATGAAAGCAGACTAGTTCTGACTAATGATACTAGGGAGTACTTCTCTAAGTCTGTTTGCTAGGACCTTTGCAATACACTTATACAGTATATTGCAGCAGGAAATTGGCCTAAACTGCTTCATACAATCGGCATTCTGCACTTTAGGGATTAAGGCAAGGTAAGTAGAGTTTACCTCTGTGAGAAGTTTTCCTGTTCTGAAAAAATCCAGTACTGCATTAGTGATATCCCTTCCCAGAACCTCCCAATTATGCTTGAAAAATCTGGCTGTGAAGCCATCTGGACCAGGGGATTTATCCCCATCCATAGAGAATAGAGCTGCTTTTACTTCTTCACTGGTGACAAGACAACAGAGAGATTCTGCTTGTTCAGAGGAAATAAAGTTGACTAAGAGTTGAGAGACCAGTTCACTATTTACCCTCTGGACATCTGGATTCTTAGTGCCTAATAGCTTCTGATAAAAATTCACTGCTTCCTCACTCATTTCTTTGGCATCAGTTAGAACAGTTCCATCCTCTGTGATGAGTTTTTTGATAGTAGACCGAGCCTGGCGAGATTTTACAGAGTTGTGAAAGAAAGAGGTGTTTAAGTCACCTGTTTTCACCCAAAGCTGCCTGGACTTCTGCCTATAAATTGCTTCTTCCTCTTTAAGAAGGCCAAATAACATTCCCTGACACTCATATACTTGTTGGAAACTCTCAAGAGTAGGTTGCCGAAGAGCTTCTATCTGCAGTCCCTCCATTTCACTTTGAGCAAGACGAACCCTTTCAGATCGACTAACATGACAAGCAACTAACAGATCGACTATAGCGGCTAGTTCAACAAAAACAATTTGAACACAATGATGATGCCCAGAAGTCCTAAACCTGATTCTTATATTACAGACCAGTAGAATTATTAAGCCACAAGTATCCAAAACTTACCAAAAAACGAAATATACTGTTCATTTCGAAAAAAATCGTGCAGAACTGTTCACAAAAGGACTGGATGATTGTCTGCGGTCGTATTCACGTGAACTTATGTTTATTTATCTTGGGCTGGCCAAGAGTAGCCGTTGATGTGAGATTTGTTTGTCAGATGCATGAGCTCACTAAAAAAACATCTACACCTGATCGGTCGCCCCATTAAAAAATAAATTGATGGGTTCGTCTCCCAAAGTCGAACGACTTCTCTCCTCTCCCTGCTCCCCTCAACCGGCTGAACGGCACGCCGACGGAGATCCAGCCTCCTCACTTCTCAGCCTCCCAAATCATTTTCACATTCCAGTCTCAATCGTCAATCCCAAGCTCCATGTCCTCTAAATCAGTCCCCGCGACGATCACCACTGAACGGACGTCGATCAATGACTCCCGATTTCCCCCCTCACTCACCTCCACGAACTGGCTGAACTGACGACAGATACCACATCTCCGAACCCACTGAACGAAGGGCGCTCGATTTCCCCTCTCGCTCACCTCCATGGACCCGCTGAACGGCACGCCGGTGGGAGAGGAGCCATCCTTCTCGGTATATTTGAAGTCGATTCCATTTACGCCCAAAAATTCTGGTAAGCACTATCTCAAAATAAACTATGTTCAAGTATGTTCCAGAATGATATGGATGCTTTCGAAAAGGTTTCTTTAGTGACCGATCTGCTTTTCTCTTTGTTATTAAAAGGGGTAGAATGATTGCGGAAGAAGGTGTTGAAATTGGGAAAATGTACATGTTTCTTGCTTATAAAACTTTATTTATTTTCCCCTTCGTTCTTGGAGTTGCAACACAAAGATGCATAAGGCAGTAGGGGTTCATGAGGTTTTATAGGGTCATTTGAGATCAAATCAGCAGGATTGAGTGCTATTGTTTTCCACTTTACATTTGTAGGATTAATCCTCTTAATGCTTCTACATCAGTGTTCCTCAAGATGAGTTTTATTAAACTGCCGCAGCAGTTAGTTATGGTCTTTTCAGAGAAGATAAAGGAGTCCTTAGTGAAACTTATGAAACAGTTGATAGTGATGCTGTTAAGTGAAATATCTATGTTGGCATTGCTCCTTCTTGCAGTTTATTGTTATCCTCTGCAATATGAGCTCACAACTTCACATACAACAACTTTCATGTATGCGGGAAGTCACTGCTGAATGTCCTGGATAGTATTTGTGGAGAAGAACCTACTCTTGAGGTAATCAACAATTTCCCATTTTGAATATGGGTCAACACGATCTACCAGCTGCAGCCTGCAGAATATGAACTTTTCAACTAGGCTAGGCTTCCCGAGTTCTAAGGGTGAAATTTCTCTTATAGCATTGTTGTATGTGAAATCTTCATAACACTCTAAGTTTGATCATTTATCAGAAAGTATTAGGTAATTTTAATCTATATGAATGTAGTTCTGCAGAGTTCCATTTTGGGGAAAGTGCTACCTGAGCAATTCCTTCACGTGGTTTAGAAAGTGTCATACTTTCATCTCCAACTCAAAACTCCCTTTGACCGTACTCCAATCTCCACGAATAAGGCTCTAAACCTACTACCTCAAACACCGCTTCTGCATTAGTTCCTAAATTTTCATGTTTCTTCATAGGAACTTGGATTGTTCCTTTGGCTAGATATAGAAACTTCTATTATATGATGCTTGGAATCATATCAAGAAGTAAATAAG